ACTTATAGGCCGGGCAAAATGCAACCCCAGATGTCCTTGTCTCCTCGGGGAGGGTGGCTGTGGGAGCGTGCTGGGACTCCCCGGGCAGCTCCCATTGAGTCTTGGCCATCAGCCAGTGCATCTCCACAGTGGCACACATCCGTGGCCTTGGGTTCTCCTGAGGTCACCCCACTGTGCATGTGTATCCACATGCAAGCACCCATTCTGAGGCAGAGCACCCAGAGACAACCAGCCCCAAGGGTAACACTGTGGAAGCCAGCGGAGCCGCCCCGGCAATACCTGTGGCCCACGGTGGCACTTTGGTGTTGAAATGCACTGCATTGCTATGAGTTGTCTTTGTTTTCCTGGCGAGGCAGCTCCTCCGTATCCTTCCTAGAGCTTGAAAGCCAACCCTCCAGCAGCTCAGGAGGAGCCCAGCTGAGGACCCCGGCCGCTCATCGGTCTGTGCACCGCCATCCCGTGAGCTGGCTCTCCTGCCCTGACTCTGTACGTGCCACCACCCTGCTGCAGCTGGGAGCAAGTGGGGAGAGGAGAGCGAAGGAAGAACAACCCCGCTTTCCTCTCAGATGCTTGTCTGCAGGTCACCATTGAGCAGGGTCCTTTGGGTTTCTGTGGTCTCATTAAGCCTGGATTTGTCCTGCTTGCTGTCGCTCCGGTCCGCCTCATCCATGCCACTGACCTTCACAAGGCAGAGGACGTTCTGAAAGCTCTTCTTGAAGTTGTCGGACAAGAAGGCGTAAAGGATGGGGTTGGCACAGCTGTTGGCGTAACTGAGGACCACGACAAAGTCGAACATGCCCTTGAGGACAGGCGTGGGCACGATCAGGACGGAGACTGAGGAGACATTAAAGATGTAGAAGGGGAGCCAGCAGAAGATGAAGACAGCGACCACAATGGAGACCATCCTGGTGACTTTCTTCTCGGACTTCTTCCTCTTGGAGGAGCCCACTCTGATGCCCGAGGACTTGACTTTGATAATGATGAACAAGTAGCAAAGGCAAATAATGGTGAGAGGCACCAGAAAGCCCAGGATGAAGGTGTAGATGATGAAGCCCGTGTACCAGGCACCTGACTCTCCCGGCCAGATGATGGTGCAGCTACTCCTGCCATGATTATGCTGCACCCCAGCATAAATCATGATGGGCATGATCACCAACAGGGAGACGCCCCAAACGGCCATATTGATCATTTTGGCTGTCCTGGGCCGCCTCCACTTGGCAGATTTGATGGGATGGACGACAGCCAAGTACCGGTCAACGCTCATAACCGTCAAGCAGAAGATACTGGTGAACTGGTTGATGCCATCCACCGTCATGACAATTCTGCAGATGGCTTTACCAAAGGGCCAGTGCACCAGGGCGACCTGCATGGCCAGGAAGGGCAGACCGAGCATGAACAGCTCGTCTGCGATGGCCAGGTTGAGGATGTAGATGTTGGTGATGGTCTTCATCTTGGCATACCGAAGGATGACGTATATCACCAGCGTGTTGCCACACAGCCCTATGATGCAGACCACGAAGTAGATGCAGGTGAGGATGGCGTTGCTGGTCAGGTCAAAGTGCTGGCCTGTGGCGTTCTGCGACACATTGGTGGGTGCCTCCATGGAGAAGTTGTCAAAGGGGGAAGCTGGGGAGAACCAGAACGCGGTGGCATTGGGCAGCTCATATTCCAGCTCCATGGCTCTGCTGGTCCCCGGGCACTGCTGGTTCAGAGGCGCCGAGATGTCATCTTCTCTTGCTCGGGGGATAGGGGAGAAGATTCTAGAAATCAGAGAACACATAGAAATGAAGGGATTCCCGGGGACCATTTGCCCATCCTGCTGCCAAGCTCCATGGGAGAGATGCTCCCTGGAGGGTCTTTCCTCAAACCACCGCCCCCATCTCCCCTCGGGAACCCGTGCGGCGCCGGGCAGCCTGCGCTGGGCACGCCACAGCTGGTACCGGCGTCCT